GGTAGCCACAAAACTTCTCAGGTATTCTCCTTTATGTTCTTTCCCATGTCCTGTGAGCTGGAATGACCGATGGCAGCAACCTTGGAGGCAGTTGAATATGGCAAAGCCACTACCAGCCTGTTTCCCTAGGGAATGCACAGCGCAGAACTTTCTCCCCTGCCCCCCAGCATAACAATCTAGAACATACAATAGTCCACCCTGGACTGTTATGTGAGAAAGAAAGAAATGTCCATTGTGTCTGAGCCGGTATATTTTTGGTCTGTGTGTTATAGCAGTTTGATTTACCCTAACGTAATCTCAGAGGCCTGAGTTTTCCTATATCAGTCAACGAAGAGACTAGATACCCAATTACTTGCAATTCTAGGGATCGAATTGTAGGGAATTTTAGGGAGAGAGAAAATGAGGTGGGGATTTTAATGAAGGGTTGCAAATTGGTAAACTTCCTCTAAAATCTTTTGGAGGTGTCAGCCTCTATTACATGTATCTCCATTTGAGTCTGAAGGCGAATTTGGAAATTCATTTTAAGGACGTATCTAATTGAAGACTGTTATGCAATTCAACCAACACCGTCTGGGAGTCTCCCAAGTAGACCAACTGCGGGAAAGGGAACTGGACACAGAAATTGAAGAAGACCCCAGTCCTGGCCCTGTGGATGAGCCAAACGGCAGTGAGGCAGTGATTGACAGTTTACTGGGGGGCACTGCCCCTTCTTCCTGCTCGGCCCGGCTGTGACTCAGCTCTGGGCACAGCTTGCTGGATTCTGACCGACATCAGCAACTGAAGTCCTCTGAGCTCAGAACAGGGCTTCAGGACACCCAATCTCATGCCGGCCTTGACACTGGGGTTACCAGAGAGCCCAGTGTGTGCTTCCAGTGACCTCCTGGAAACAACGACACTCTTTATTGGGCTCCGAAAAAGCAATCAAATACAGTGACCAAACCAGCTCTTGCCTGCCAAGCTCCTTAGCGAATACTGACGCTGCTAATGCGGTGAACGAAAGAGAAAAACCAGGAGGCTCTGGAAGGAGAGATGGTGCTGTCCTCCACCCTCCGAATTCTCCTTCCAGAGGGGCATCGGGTCTTAGAGTCTGTTTTCTGAGGACAGGAGGTCCAGGACTGTCTCCATATCCATTCAGAGAGAACAACAGCCGGTGGGCCCACAGCCAGACTCGGTGCGTGGCTGGGCACAGGTGTGTCGCACCCTTGGAAAGGTATTCTACACCTGAGGGGTGACAAGGGGCATCCTGGCAGCCCTCTCCCTCCCAAAGTCCTAACCCTAACCTCCACTACCTTGTCAGGGGGTGAGAATTCACCGACAGGTGCAGAGCCCCCGGCTTTGCTGGGCACCGTTTGGGGCTCAGCTGTGCCAGCTCAGACGGCGGGTGTGCAGAGGGCTCTGTCCTTCTCCCTAATGTGGGGGGAGGTAGGGACAGGGAGGGGCACCAGTGATGTGTCTGAAGACTGCATGTGGTTTTGGTGTGAGCCCCTCGTTGAAGCAGAAGCGGAGGAGGAGACGACAGAAGAGCCCTGTGCAAATTTTGCTGGGCTCAGGTTGTCGGGGGAAATGGTGAAGGGGCTGCATTTCCCATTTCTTGACACGACAGGAGGAACTCAAGCAGAAGTCTGAGGCCAGGGGACAGCAAGAAGCCCGTTTGCAGACGTTGGCAGGAACACGAGGTTGTGCTTTGGCCTTCTGTAGAGCTGGGGCCTGGAGCGTTGGTGAGAAGGTGCTCCCGTGAGCTACAGGCAGGGCGGTGGCCCCCTCCCAGGGCAGGCCCCCGGCTGTCCCGCGCAGCAGCCTTGCCGGGAACGCGCACGTCTGCACAGGAGTCACTGACACGTTTTGAGAAGTGCTGAATTGCAGCCGCACAGATATGCCACACATCCCATTTCTTAATCCATGTAACAGAGAGAAAATGCAAAGGAATGTATCCAGGGGACACCGTGACTGGACCGAGTCTTCTTTCAATTGTGGCACTCCTCTGAAGGTAGACGTCTAAACCCCGGCACTGTTACTGCCTGGCCTCAGGTCCTCACATTCCGGCCAAGCGGACTTGTGTTGGAGCTGTCTCCCATTGACAGCCCTGCCGCCCGGGCGACGAGCCCCCGCCGGCCATCGGGAGCAGCCTGTCCCCTCGTCCCCCGCCCAGCATTCTCCCCTTGGTGCTCCGGGTTGCGATGCCGCCGGCCCCCGCCCCCGGCATAAACTTGGCAGAGGGATCTGCACGCTCCCAGGAGGTGACATGCGCTAAAGAAACTCCACACAGCCCGGGCTGCCGGCAAATGCGAGTCCCGGAGAGAATCACCGTGTACAAAAAGGAGTGAACCGGGCGTGGGGCGCGGTGGAATCGGCATCGCGAGGAGAGTGAGGGATTCCTGAGCATGTCCTCAAGCAGGATGGCATTCCTGGGAATGTGCCGTCTACACGGGCAGGGCTTTCTGTTATTTTTTGGTCTGTTTCTTAGGATGATGCCCAAAGTAGGACTTGGAACATAGTAGGTGCTCAGTATATATTTGTGAAGTGAATACATGGATAGGTTTCTCACAAACTGAAAGCAGACGCACGGGATTATGAAGGTGAAAAGTGCTCATGCTAGCAACAGCTGCGCACAGAAGTTACTGGAAAGGCCAACTGGTGCACTTCCAACGGGCACGCTCCTCCCTGGAGGCCAGCGGAGGACCGGAGGAGACACAAGGACCTCCATCCAGCCCTCGCAAGCTCAGAGCCTGGTTTTCCTTGGCGTCCAAAACTGGCAAAAGTCCACGGCCAAGGCAATCGTTAGAAGAGAGAGAAGACCTCCGTCCCGGGGGCCGTTGGTGTGGTCTGCAGACACGCCTCCCTGGGACCTGACCCCCACTCTGATCCTCTGTGGGCTGCAGGCCCCTCCAGCACTCATGTCTCTTCTTCTCTCCTTCTGGGCTGTCTCTGACCCCAAAGCCCCTTTGAGCAACGTGGGCTCAACAGTAGATGAACGAAGATGCCAGTTCTGGAGGCGTCTTGGGTGCCCAGGTGCCCCGGCCTCCTCCACCCTCAACTCAGACCCAGCCAGCCTCCTCCTCTCCCCTCTTCCCTCCCCCAAGCCCTGCTGGGCCCCACTTCCCCAACTTGCACATCTCTGGAGCTGCTGAGAAGCCACATGGAAAGGAAGGACCAAGAGAAGCAGCTAAGATTTCCACTTCTAGAAATGGCCATGGAAACCACCCGCTGAGGACAGTCATGAAAGAAGGGGTGGGACATTAAAGCAAGAACAGTCTTCTTAAATGCATCAAAGAGATAATGCGCCGGTGGGGAAGGACTGGGCAGGGTCATTCGCTGAGAAGAGAACCCAGACCAGCAAACCCAGCTCTCAAAGCTGCTTTGTCCTTGAGGCCACTGGTGGGCCCAGGCGGACCTGCTCAGGTGCGCTCAGGTGCGCTGCGCTTCTCACAGGCCCCCGCAGCGCCCGCCGCCCCGCCGATGCTGGGGCCCACGTGGGTCCCCTCGCCTCCTTTACGCTGGCCCTGAGGGAGCTCAGGGTTGGGGTGACCCAGAAGGAAGCCAACCCTCCGTGGACCTGCAGCTCAGCTTCGTGTTATCGCGTGGATCCAGGGACCCTCAGGTTGCGAGCTTGGGGCATAACGGTCCCAGGCTGGTGCTGCCAGCAGACTTCCGTCAGAAGAAGAGAGAAGTCCCCTCTGGAAAAAGATGGCATCATCCTAGGCCTCAAATCATTCCTGTGAGGAAAGAGCAACCCTGTAAGTCCTCCCCCACCAGGAACTCCAAAAGGACTCGTGGAAGTCACCCCGCAAGGGTGCCGTCCATCTGACTCCCGGGACGGAAACGGAGCTGATCCCTCCCCAACCTCAGCTCCCCTCACTGTCTGCTTTTCTGGGATGAACCTGGATCCAGCTGCGGGTTCTCTACGAAACCAGCTGTTTCCATGCTGAAGGCCTCTCCCTGCAAAGCGAAATAAGCACAAAATCCAAATTAGAGCCATTCAAACCCCTCATCTGTTTCTCCCATGTCTTTCTTTGCAAGGAGCTGCAAGTACCTCTTAGCAATCAGCCCTGTCCCTGAGAGGGTGGGCGTCTAGCACCGGGCTCTTGGTTAGGGAAGTTGCCCCCGTGATGAATTCAGGGCACATCCCACATCCTGGCCGGTCCCCCTGAGCCTGGCTCCGCTCTGGGCCCTCCCTAGTCCCGCCCACAGCCCTTCCACTTCGGTTCAGAGCTGACTATCCCCCCCCCCCACAGCCTGCGGGCTGCCCCTCCACTGCCCTTAGCGATTTATATTTGCTCAGTGTCTGTTTTTTGCTTGGTATAAACCCTATGAAAGCAGGAACCAAGTTGCTTTGTCCACTAGGGTGCTCCCAGTTCCTAGAACGGTGTCTTGCACAGGACAGGGCTCAGACGCTTATTTTTGAGTGAAAGAAGGAGATCATAGCATTTCTTCTGGAAGCCCAGAGCCGGGCAGGCAGCTCCTGCTCCGCCCGCCTTGGCTGCAGCGCCGGGCTGCCCTGACCTCCGGGGACCGGGGAGCCGGGGTTCCTCGCCTCGCTTCCCTCTCCTCTTCTTCTTTCGTACGAGACTTTTCAGAGTCATCTGGTGCTGTCAGAGTGCTCTTGTGTTAACAGCATGAAAGTGCTGGCTGGCCCCATCTTCTCTAAAAACACGCCCGGAGTCACCTAGCCGTGGCGGTGAGGGGGAGTCCTCATACTGCCATCATTGCCACTATCAAGGTGATCCCTGCCCGCCGCCCCAGTGGGCCCAGGCCAAAGCTGCGCCACCACCACGGGGAAGGCTGACCCAGGCAGGGATCGGGGCCGAGGTGGGACCGAGCGCGTGTGGCACCTTCTTAGAGAAAGAAGGCGGTTTGCGCAGGGCAGGGGCGAGAGAGTGAGGCAGGTCCCACAGGCCTGATGGGGGGCCGTTCCGGTGCTCAGAGAGGAGAGTGCACTGACCGCATCGTGAGACAAGCAGACGGATTTTTCTTCCTTTGGGGGCGGGGGAGGGGGGTGGAAAAGGGGCGGGAGGTAACTGAGCAAGGCAAAGGGGGGCAAAAAGAGCAGAGTGGGCATGAGCAAGACGCAGACCCGGGGCTAAGGGAGCCTTCCGGCGGCAAGGGGCCAGGAGGCACGCTTACAGCAGAATGTGCCGGGCGCCCCTGTAGGCGTGTGCGAGCGGAGTGCGCGTATGTTCGCCAGGACAGTCCTCTCCAGAACATCCCCAGTTCCTCCATGAAGTCAAGACGCCACCCCCGAATATCTCATGGGGTTGAGCTTTGACTGCATCTCGCGCCCAGGACAAGGCAGTGACCAGAAAGAGCAGGGAGGTGCCCAGAAGGCAGAAACCAGGAGGCCAGGACGGCCGCACAGCCACGAGCTGGCCAAGTGGAATCGCGCCTGCGCTGCCTTGGTCTCCAGTCCCAAGGAGGCCTGCCCCCCCCCCGCCCCCGTGGGCGCCATCGCCACTTAAAAGCAGAACCTGAACTGGACTTGACCTGGAACTTGGCCACTTAAAAGTGGAACTCGACTTGGAAACTGAACCGGACCTGGGCTGGAGGGGTCTGGGGACCGGGGGGAGGACACGAGAGGCCTGTTCAGGGACCACCGAGAAAACGAGCTGGGCAGACCGTTAGGACGCCAGCGGGGGGAGCAGCCAAGAGCAGGCTCGAGAGAGACTCGAAGCTGAGCTAAGTTTAAGAGTTTGGACTTTTAACCTGTTGGCAATGGGGAGCCACTGAAGGTTTGCTGACAGGAGAAGTGACGAGAGCCGGTGAGCGGCTGGCTGGGGGGAAGGGGCAGGGAGGAGGACAGGTGAGGCCCTGAAGCACAGCCGGTGTGGACGTCTCCCAGGTCAAAGATGAAGTGGATGACAAAGGAGCCCGGGGCTAGGGGTGCGGGGACCCTGCAGGGAGGCAGGCGGGCTGGGCTGTGGGGGGGGGGACCTGCCCCAGGAGCTCATCTGGGGGGGAGAGGCGGGAGGACTTGCTGACCTTCACACTGCATTTCTCAAGTGCAAACTTCCTCCCCTCTGTCTTCTCAAGTGTACAGAGGCTCCGCACCTTCTTGCTTTGGACTAACAGAGGTATCTGTGTCTTGCTGGACAGAGAGATGGGGCACCCCAAAACGCCCTTGTGGCAACCATCCCCACGCCCCCGACCTGCAGCGCCTGGGGCTGGCTCTCCCTGCAGTCAGACCAGGGCCCGCCCTGCTTGGCACCCACGCAGCCGCCGGCCTGCCCGTTTACCGTTTCCCTCGTGCCATTTAGAGCCCCCTGTGCAAAAGCAACCCTTCGCATTTCAAGGGCTCTGTGGGCAAAAGTCTGCAATTCCCCACTTAAAATGCCCCACCTCCACGGCCAGCCACCCTCCTCGTGCACTAGGCTCTCGATTCCAGGCTTCTACTTGCAAAGCCTGAATGTGCCACTTTGCAGGTACTGCGCTTGAAGGTTTAAGAGTACTTTTCTCTGTCTCTCCTCTGCATCTCTTCCCTCCCTGGGCCACCTGTGTCACTGTGCGCCTGGTTTCCAAACACAATCCTCTGCCGCTTTCACACCCTCCAGTCTTCACTCCCCTGGGTAGACGGGGACTATTTGGCCTAAAGCCCTGTGATTACACCGGGTCTCATCCTTCTCTAGCCCCAGATGGAACCTTCCTTGCGCATCTTTTTTCATGTTAACTCCCCCTGGGCTCTGGGCTGTCCACACTGCAAGGATCTCTGGGATCCAGCGGGGGCCTGTCTTCCCTAGGACCTGCCTCTGTCATGCTTGGCGGGCAGGACGCCGCCACCACGCTTCCTCCTTCTGTGGAAGTCTGGCCTGCAGTGCGGGCTGGGCCCTCCTGGCAGGGACCCTCCCTCTCTGCACCAGGTTTCTTCTCCTGTACCTTGCCGAGAAAGGAAGCACGCTCTGTAGTACTTTTTGAAGTCTTTTCTGCTCATCAGAAAGATCCAGCCGAGTATCTGCATGGGTTTACAACCTGCCATACGATCGACTAGGTGGCGACCCCTTCCCAGACGTTGGGACCATCTTCTGCCACCCCACCCCCGCCCCCTGGCGTCCTGGAAATCCTGTTCCTCCAGACAGGGTGGCTCTTTGGGCACGGAGAGGAATCTGCCAGCTCACCCAAGTCCTTCCCCTCCGGGGTGGGCGATACCTTCCTCTGGGCCCTCTGGCCTCAGGTATCCCGGATGGTCCTTGGAGCCCCACGTGTGAACCCCCGGCCATGACATCCACGTCTGGATGCCATGGTGTCGACCCAGGAGGCATTGTGGTACCCACGAGGTGCTACAGAAGAGCCACAGGCAGGGATGGTCACGGACTGTGGCCTATGCCTCCAAGGCTAGAATGCAGAAGCTCGAAGCAGGGTGTAGGAAAAACGCACCCTAAAATTCTGACTCCTCAAGCTGCATGTCCTGGGCCCGCAGCCCGGCACCTCCAGGGAGCCTGCTGAGGACACGGGCTCCCTGGCCGCAGACCTTCGGGTCACCACGTGGGGGCAGCCTGTCCGGGCTCTGGCGGTGAGTTCTCACACGTCTGCACACGCTATGTGGCATCGGCCTCAGTGGGCCTCTCGGTGGTCCCCAGGTTGGCCCCTGGGGCCTTGGGCCTCCGCCTCTCCCACCCGGCCACCCCTCCCAGGACACCCAGCCCTGGAGCCTCCTCCTCCCAGCTCAGGCATGCCCTGCTGGGGGGCTCGAGAAACACGCAGCCGCAGCCCCCACAGCAGAAGCCACATGCTGCCTGGCCATCAGTCGGGGTCACCACCCTGCCCGGTGCTGCCTGGTCCCCCTCAGGGCGAAGTTCAAGGATTTCAGACTCCCTTGGGTCCCTTAGTCACTGCGCTCACAGGGCTGCCCTTCAAAAGCACTGTGGTGTGAACGGAGAGTGTTTCTCTAGACGGGTCCAAACCCATTCTCTGCCCCGAGGGCAGCAGCCACGCCCCTCACGGTCTGGACGCGGGTGAGCGTGGCCACCCGACACAGCCCGGACACCCTCCTCCGTGTCAGCGAGGGAACTGTGCAGCGGAGGCGCGGCCAGGGCCGGCTGGGGAAGTGGTGCAACCGGCCTCCGCTCAGCCCTGCTTAGGGCTCGGGGACTTGGGTCCAGGCTCTGAAGGCCAGAGGAACTCGCCCTGCTCGGAGGAAACAGTTGGAATTCACATGAACCCTGTGAGCCCGAGTGTCCTCGCCTGTAGGATAAAGACCCTGTACCCCACGATCTCTGAGGGCCACTCCGGGGTGAACACGGCTCCGCCCCCTGCCCCCGCCGGCAGATTCCATGATGGCATCATGCCCAGGAGGGTTCAGCCCTTGGGTTGGCCCTTTCCAGGCTCTGGGATCTCGTCCCGCAGAGAGTTATTAGGGCCTTAGGAGAGAAGATGCAAACACTTTAAACACAAGAACTCTGATGTAGAATCTAGTCTACGACAGAGGCCACCTTGAGAGATGCCGCCAGTGCCGCAGTGGCCCCGGGACAATTGGATGGACGCTTGGGAGCAAACGAAATTGAGTCCAAACCTCATCCAGCAGCTGCCCCGGAACCGCGTCCAGGGCACTGGGGGCTTTCAGTGCTGCAAGGCCTGCAGGGGTGGGGAGGCCCGCGGGGGTCGGGGAAGCCGGCGGGCGGGGGTCTGGGTGCGCTCGTCCTGCGCGCGGAGCTTCGGCTCGCCCTGCCCTGCGAGCCCGCACTTGACAGGCTCCCCGCCACCCGGGCAGCAGCTGTCTCTTGCGCACTCTGCTCAGGGACGTGAGGACCCACGGTCGGTCGCTGAGCCTGTCTCTGCTGGGGAGGGCGAGCGCAGGGTCAGCACTGCTCGGGCTGGCCCTCACTGCTGGGCGCGGCAGGGAGTGGCTGCTCCCCGGCCACGCAGAGATAATGATGGCCCACTGCGGTGGCGAGCTGAGCCCAGCGCTCAGGCAGCCTTCACCCTTCCCTACGTTCCAGATGGAAATACTTTCAGACGGGGGAGAAACGCAGGAGGGGGCAGACAGGAGGCAGACCGGCCTCGGAGCTCTTCCTGCGAGCCAGGGCCTGCCCCAGGGGCCTCGCCCTTCGTGCTTCTTGGTGAGGCCTCCCGCGTCTGTTAGCTCTTGCCGATGCCGGGAGGAGATGGGTCACTCAGCAGCGCAGTCCCGTAAAGGACAGTTGGAGGGTTTTCTCTCAAACGGCTGTTTTAAATATTTATGGCCGCGGGGGGATGCTCGCATGGGTAAGTGAAAAGATGAGGTCAGATGGCCCAATTTTGCGGAGAGAAACGTGGCAAGGCGCACACGCTGAAGTCCAGAGGTCACTCGTTGTCCATGCAGAGCTGGTGCCTCTCTTGTCCGGCCGCTGAGGCCCACATTCCCCGCCACAGCGCTTGTTCTCTGTCACCCCCGGCGGCGACGTGTCGCGTCCTCCCCAGCTCTCGAGCCTTCCAACTAGCACAGCGCCTGGCACAAGCGGGCGCTCAATACCCGTCTGCAAATGACGAGCGAACGTGGGACGGACGGACGGACGGACGGACGGATGGATGGGGAGGAGAGAGAGAGGGAGAGAGGGCAGGAGGCAGGGAGTTCAGAGGGAAACATACCAAAATCCTAACAAGGGTCATTATCATCTGAACAACTTATTTCATCTTCTTTATAAATATGTGACTTCCAAATCTTCACCAATAAAATGATCACTTTTATGATAAATTTTTTTCATCAAAGTTCTGTGATTTATCAACGAATCAGTCTGAATGCTTCCTCGTAATTTCGAGTCCTATTTTTAGCTGAATCAAGAAGGCCCTGAAGTAGGCTATGTCTATGAGAGCGGCCAGGTCTTCCAGAGCCAGCGCCGGGAGACAGGCTCTGACGGGCTCGAAATGCTCATAGAAGCGGGACTGTCTGGAAGCAGGGCGCCCCGCAAAGGCAAGACCCCCGCATCTAAGGAACAAGTGCTCCACTTAGGGGAGAGGACCAGTAACACTGGGTCGTGGACGGACGGCGACCCTCAGGAGGACAGTGGGCCTGTTGGCCCCTCGAAAGTGCCCACGTAAGGGTGAGAAGAGGGAGCTGTCAGAGGGAGGAAGACACGCGACCTGGGCGCCATGCTCCTCCCAGCTACACTTTGCTTCCCTGAGGCTGAGCCCATTCTGCTTTTGGGATGATGGATACTGTCTTCCAAAGGGAGGAGCTGGATTATCAGGTAGGCAGAAGGCCCTTCTGGAACCTCCTCCCCACCTCCATGGGCCCTTCCCCCTTCTGCTCTGGGGCCGCTTCCGTGGACCCCGCTCAAGCACCAGTCACTGCCAACGTCTCGCCCGGGGGGAGGGGGGGGAAGAGAACAGCCTCAGGGGACCCCTGGTGCCCAGCACCCTCTGCGCCTCTGGAGTCCCACAGAGCCCTGCAGCTCGGGCGGGGCCTGGAGCCAGAGGGATGGGCACCCGCCCCTCTGCAGGCCCGGCCCTGACCTTGGGCCGAGGTCACAGCACTGGGTGGCGACGCAGCAGCACTGTGCACAGCGCCCGGGCCTTCAGTAGCAGGCAGACTGCTGCTAGCAAGGGATCTGGGCACGTTCACCACCAAAGCCTGGGTTTCCTAGGTTGAAAGCTGAAACAACACAGAAGCCACTCTGCGGCGCTGCCAGACACGTCAGCGCATCAGGGCTGCGTGCGGGCCCGGTGGCGTTGCAGTGCCCGGATGACGTAGGTACTGCTTTTATTCCCCTCTGACAGACGAGGAGCGGCACTCGCAGAGAGGTTAAGAGATGTGCCTAAGGGTCGCACAAGGGGTAAATGTTAGCACCGCGATTCCAGCCCGGGGAGTCTGGCTTCAGAGGCCAAGCTCAACTTACGTCACAAACGAGCCTCTTTCCCATGCAGGTAAGCTTGTTAACGCGATGCCCGGAACGTATTAAAAGCTCAGTAAACAGGAGCTGAGGCTCTTAGCTGCTGGGACGCGCAGGTGCCTTTGGGAAGTGGAGGGCAGCCACGGCAGGGCTCTGCGCGCAGACTGCGGCTCCCTCCTGCCCTCGCACCGACAGACAGCCGGGAGCCTGCCCGTCTCATCCGCCTCCCCGGGGCCGGCATGGCACCCTGCAGCTCCCTGAACACCTGCCGGGCGTGTGATTCAGCAGCACCCCCTGGGTGTGCCTTGTCTCACGCGACCCTTCCACCGCCTCGCGGGAAGCCGAGAATTTCAGTCTCTGGGCGAAGGGACAGGGCCCGTCCGCCAGCGAGGGGCGAACAGTGGGCCCTGGGGGACTGACTCGCCGGGCAGTACAGCACGCCCCTCGGGTGGATTTCACACGAAAAGGAGATCATTTATGCGGTGTCATTAGTTACATTATGTGCTACTTACACAGCTCTGTTGTTCTTCCCTTTCTATTCAGAACATTTCCAGTAATTATTTTCCACGGGACAGTGATTCTAACCAAAGGAGTGAGAGAAAAGTATACCGACGTTCGCCAGGACCTTGAGGGAATTAAGAGGCCGGCTGAATCAAGAAACGGTCTCAGAATCTCATAATGCGGGCAACACAATCATTACAAAGTAAAACAATGTGATCTTGGAGCAGTGGCAATCTCAAAGCATATCTCTACATCTCAATTAAAAAAAAAAAAAAGATGAGACATGAAAAATCCCCTAGAACCAGACTCCTATTCGGTGGACAGTCAGTCATAACATCACCGGCTCCAAGATGGGGCTCTTCAGTGATGAGATCAGAACCAGAAACGGAGCCCAAGTGCACATTTTCCCCAGTGCACAGCCCAGGTCGGGCCCCAGCTGAGCCGAGCTGCTGCTGTCACCTGCTGGGCCCTGGGCAGGGTGTCTGTGAAGACCCCCAGCCTGCAGCCCATTCCCCTTCCCTGGCCTGCGTTACGAGGGGCCCCCACGTGTGTGTGTGGACACGCCTGCATGCACATCTGGGCTCCATCCACACGCACGTCACAGTCACCACCTAGGCGCGGGCAAACAAGTGGCCCCAGGGAGGATGAGCCCGGCGCAGGCCCTGGCAGCCAGCGCAGGGGCAGCTGGGCAGAGAATTCTGTAACAGAAAGGGAAGGGCCTGGGCTCCAGGGAGCACGTCCCCTTTGCCCCGCAGACTCCTTTCTCCATCAGGAGGGGCCACGGCCAGAGTGGGTGCCTCTTGGGACATGTGACATTATGTCTCTTTGGCCTAGAGTTAAGACTTCTTATGCTGTACCAAGTGTGAGCTCTTTTGGTCTCAAAAAAGAAGTCCTCTATCTCTTCCCCTCAGGCACAAGTGCTGAAGAGGGCAGGAGACTGGCGGTCCAAGACCTGCCTCTTATAAACCACGTGACCCTGTGCAGAGACAGACCTTAGACCCATCTGCACGTACAGAATGAAAGCCTTGACCACCCTCCCCACATTGCTGGTGGGACTCAGAAGGTGTTACAGTGTCAGGCAAACAGGGTATCTGTCTTCCTATGGAGCCAGGGAGTGGGGAACAGCCTGGGCCTGTAGAAATGATCACAGAGCCCCCAAGGCCATTCCAGGAATAACATCTACCTGAAGGACACTCTGAAGGACTGAATAAGAAAGTGTGTGCAAAGGCACCTGGCACACAGGAGGAACTCCAAGATTATCAGTGGTGGAGGTGGCAGTGGTGACCATTCCCAGGTGCCTGCCACAGCAAGTACTTTGCTAAATTGTACATTTTAATGATCACAATAACCAAAGAAGTAAGGGTACCCCCCCATAGTACAGATGGGAAAAATGAGGCCAAGATCACATGGTTTGTGAGCAAGCAGCAAGGCCAGGAATCACAAGTGGGTCTGTCTGCAGCAAGATTCTTCTTCCCACCACACTCAGCACCGCCCAGCTGGTTTTCTTGCAGGCTCCGAGGGTAATTCACTCATGCCATCCTTACCTGCTCACAGCACCCCGTGCCGGATCAGCCACTGAAGCCCTGCAACCAGAGACCGTGGGCCACCTGCTTTGCCAACAGACAGAAGAGCTCATTGTGTTCCCGTCAACTTGGCTCATCGAAAAATCTTTCCCCGGGAAAGTGGAGGTCGCTGATAAGACAACTAACTAAACCTAACAAGAAATATCAATAACTTCAAATTTTGAGGCACTTCACAAGGAGAGTCACACGCAGGTGCTTTGTGAACCAAAGACTCAGGTGGCAAGGCTGGGAGTGGCTCATGACAACCACCCAGAATGGCCACGTCTATCTGGTTCCCAACAGTAATGGAAAATACAAGTTGAGTCTGTCTCAAGTGCACTTGAATTCTCCGACCGATAAAAACCACAAGAAATCTCTGGCAGTGCCAGGCTGGAGGTGAGCACCGGCTCCCACCTGTGGGCAGGGGCAGCGAGGGGCCTCGTGCAGCAGACCCTCTCCCTGCACTGGTGGTGCTGGGATGGGGGCCTCCAGATCCCCAGAGATCGGCCCTCACCCTCAAGAGGGTTAGACCTCTTATTTGCAGCAGAAAATACCTCACTCAAACATGCTCAAGGAGGCCCAGGGAGCAGCCTGTGGTTAAAATGCAATCAACATTTGAACCTGCAAATTGAGGGCGTTGCCTTCCCTGTAGGAAGAGCGTGCAGGGAAGTCGGGCAGCTGGGGAGGCAGCAGGGGCTGTCACCGAACCCTCCCCTACGGTCCACCCCACCCCCCACCCCCGGGGGCCGAGGCGTCCATGCCTACAGCATGACCCTCTCCTCCCTCCCCAAGGTGCCAATCTCGTTAAGTGGCTTCTGTTGCCAGCTCTCAGCAGCACATTTGGGGCACTGGTGCACCCCGTGCCCTCCTTTCCCCCTGGAACCTGCTTTTCTGGGTCATTTCCCCGATTCCATTAAAATAGTAACCAAACCCAAGAATCTCACCAAAGGGGACAGCCACGGGACACGAATTAAACTTACAACTTCATCAGGGGCCTTTTGGGGATAATGTGTCCATATCCTTATAAAGCATTTTGCATTGACACCCCAGTCTCTCCCCCAGCCCCACACGGTGTGACAATAACCCCATGACTGATGCTTTTATAACAGGAAACGCAGGCAGAGGGATGGGCTCTGACGTCAGGGACTGTCTTTCAGGTACTGTTCTCCAGTAAGTGTTCCGTGGCTCACAGGGAAGACAGGTTTCCTCCGTGCGGGAGGTGGCGTGGTGGGGACAGGTCCCCAACTGAACCCTCACCACTAGGAGGCAAGTGGCAACACCAGCAGACCATCTGCCGGGGGGGGGCGCTGCTGGCTCCAGAACACACTCCTCCCGCTCAGGCTGGCTCAGCCCAGGGTGTGTGAACGGCCCAACCAGACACGATGGTGCTCAGTGCAGGACGCGCCGCTGAGCGGACCAGGACGATGGGAAACTCACCTCGGGGGCTTGCTTCCCACGCAGCCCCGCCTGGAGAAAGAGCTACCCGGAGAAGCCTAGCCAAGCGAAGGTTGCAGGGAGGAGCAAGGACAGGAGGAAGAGTGAAACAGACCACACCCGCCAGCTTCTCCGTGACCTCTAAAGGGCACCATGTTAGACTGCAGTAAAAGTGCTTTTCCTTCTGGCTGTCACTCGCTTAGGTGCTAACCCAGCCCACACGCACCCACTCACAGGAAGGGTAAACCAAGCCGGGCATGCGGCAACAATACGCCGGCCACTTTTGATGGTGATTGGTTCTATGTTCTCTGGAGATACCCCGAGACTCTCCAAAAAATTAGGGCTCAGTATTTCCTACCCAAAGCCAGCTTCCAGGAAATAAGCAAGTGAGCCTGCAAATGTAAAATGTAAAAATAGCATCCCCCCGCCCCGCCCCCCCCCGCCCCACTTCATTTCAAGCCTTTATATCACGCGGATCCAGACACCTCCCACCCGGCTCCCGCCCCACCCTCCTCCACAGCCTGTGCCCACATTCCTGACACCGTCACAAAAGGCACCTGGCTGGCCTCCATCGCAGAAAACACGCAAACCCAACACGCATGTGGTCCACGTCTAAAGGGCTTTTATTTCAGAGTCTGCAGGACTGAAGTTCCTCCAAGGATCTGGAAGGTCATTCTCAGCGGCGGCCACTGCTGCCGGGACCCAGCAGTGAGCACCTGGCAGGCGGAGCCCGGAGCTTGCACACAAGGCGGAAGAACCCAGCTTTTCCGCAGGATTCGTCACGAGCCGTCAAAAACCAAGCGCAAAGCCGCAGTTTCCAGTTCAAAGGTCGAGAGGGCGCACGCTGCTCGTGGCCGGGCTCCCTGCGTCACACCCTGGTCCGGGGTGCAAGAGGGGAGAAGAGATAAAGCAGCCACAGCTGCTGCGCTGTCTCCAGTCACCCCTCTGGCAAACGGGGGGGAAAGGAGAAGAAAAAGTCATCAGAGAAGGTGAAGCAAGAGCAGAGGGGCAGCCGCCCCACGGGCTCCCACGCACACAGAGCCACGAGCCGTGGGCCGCAGCTCGCTGTGCTCCTCCCTGCAGAGCCGGGCTGCCTTCCTCACGGAGCGCCACGTGCCAGCCGGCGCTCGGAAACCCAGGGACCCGTGCCCTGGCAGCCCCTTCTCACGGGTCCCCATTCTCAGGGAACCGAAGAACCGGGAAACAGAGGTGAGTCCGGAGAAGCTGGAGTTTTCACCAAAACAACAGAGCAGGACACAGACAGGCAAATACACAAACCCCGAGCAATGTCCGGAAAGGAAGGGGGATAAAAAAAATAAAGAACCCTTTTCTGGAAGAAATCATCACCCAGGATCCCAAGACTTGCTGAGGACAGAGGAGCACGTTCATTGCGGCAAATAACCTCACACAGGAAACCACGCGAACAGCTCTACCAACCTGAGAAGCTTCCAGAAGCCAACAGACGTCTGGGTGACACCACAGAGGAGCCCTCACATCTTGGAGACGGGCCACTGCCCAGGACCCCTGCCCCACGCCAGTGGGAGGGGCCGTCCCATGGCGTCCTCAGGGCCTAGACTGACTTCAAATATCGTCCCTGACGGCGGGCTTTTCTTCAGCCAACCGGATCGCCACTCGTTTAAATGACCACAGTGGTTTTTTTTAAAATCCCATTTCTAGGATAAACAACATAGAGCTATGACAGAGCAGAGAAACACAAAAAAAGCACAAAGGATGCTACTAACCAAAAGCTGCCTGGCGCTTTCCTTTCCCCTCCAAGAAGGAGAAACTGTTTCATATGTACACGTGCATGTGTGTGCAAACGTGCATATGCACACACAGAGACACACACACACACATGCACACTCGGTTTTCCCTGATACTTGAAATTCTTTGTGAACTAGCCATGTCTATTTCTGCTGAACCCTTTGAGAAAAACAAAAGAAAGGAAAGGAAAGGAGCTATAAACACGTCCCATTCTGGAAGGGGCGGACAAGCTCTGAGCACTTCCGCTTTGATCTTTCACACGGAAGCCACCAAAACAAGGCCAGGCCCCGACAGAGCCAAAAAGACGCCCCCAGGTCAGACGAGGTCTAACATGCAGATCCAGGAGAGCAGAGTATCAGAAACCCTCAGCAGGCAGTTGGGTATCCTTCAGGCTTCTTTTAGATTCCCGATCCGCCTACTCTCTTTCACTGCTGTCAACAATTGCTTAAAAAAATGTTTTTTTTAAATCAACGCGGTTCTGCCCTTCACTAATTACCAAGACAAAAAAAAAAACCTCTTGAAAGGGGGAGAGAAGGGGGTGACATTTTAAAGGGACACCCAAAGGGTGGCAGAAACCACTCTCGTGTGGCGATTTGGAAACAAGCTTGACGGTGACATTCTGCGCAGATGTCCAACACACACCACGGAGCCAGAGTTTTATAAATAACGTGTGTTTTGGTTCCAAAAGAGCTTCAGCTTCCAGATCCTTCACACCCCGGGCTGCAGCTGACCAACTTTCCGCAGGATGCCAACGTGCCGAAAGGCAGCTTCTACCTAAAAGAAAGGGAAGAACAGGAGTCAGCAACCTTCCGGCAGGGCCCCGAATCCGACATCTCCATCCCTCACCGCCTTTTCAGCCCTTGGACACTCCATATCCCCGACCACAGGACCTTTGAGCGTGCTGTCTGGAAAGCACACCCTGCTCTCCCAACTAACCCCTTGCCTTCCCCGGCCCCCTCCGGCCCTCCTCATGCACGACCTCTTTGCTCCTTATATCCCTCCTTCCCAGCACCTCTGTGAGTGTTTACACCAGGGGTCAGAAAAGCTTTCCTATCAAAGTCCAGGAGTAAATATCTTAAACTTTGCAGGTCCTGCAGTCTCTGTGGCAACCACTCAACTCAGCTGTCACAGCCGAGAAGCGGCCGCAGACGGTACAGAAAGGCTTGAGCGTGGCTGCGTCCCAATAAAACTTTATTTATGGACACTGACATTTGAATCGCGTATGACTCTTCCACGTCATGAAACTTCTATTCTTCTTCTTTTTTTTTAATTAATTAATTTATTTATTTATTTTTATTCTTCTTTTGATTCTTTCTCAACCATTAAAATGTAAAAATCATTCTCGGCTCCTCATGAGCCATACAAACACATGCAGCGGGCTAAATCTGGCCCACGGACCACAGCGTGCCGAATATAAACATTATCATATCAGGTGGCTATTTACTAAAAGATGTAAACATCCTATTTTTAGGAAATGTATACTTAAGAATTATATTTACAGGAAAGCACCATGACATATATATTAATAACTTATCCTCAAATGGCTCGGAAAAAAACAATTTGTATGCGCACACACACACACACACACCAATCCAAAGGCAAATGAGGCAAAATGTTAACAACAGGAAAATCTGGGTAAACGGGTATGAGGGTGTTCCCTGCACTATTTTTATTTTTGCACTGTTTGAAATTTTTTCCCCAAATAAAAAGTTGTTTAAAGAAAACCAGACAGATGTGGTTGCCCTCGTATTAGCCACTAAGGTCCCCCACTCAACAGACCAGAGGAAGGAAAGAACCACCTGCCGGCAGCCAGGCTGTACAGGCTGGTTTCTCACGGCACCCACCGCCCCTCTTCTGGGTCAGGGAGTTGGGGGGCTACCCCCACACACACACTGATCGTCATCTGGGAGCCTGAGGCACTCGCCCCCACCACGCAAAGGGGACTGGGGACCCCAAGTGTTAAGGCTCCCCTGCAATTCTGACTCCACCAGGCCCCGGCTGCAACCCTCTGCAAAGTTTCCACGTGGAGGGACGGAGGGTGGGGTGAGGGACCAGAGGAGCGGCGAAGCTTCGAAAGTCCAAACGCGGGACCAGACGGGGGGAAGGGACCTGGTGCCCAGTGCGACACCAGAACAGGAGACGGACGGACAGCGGGCTGCGGCTGGAGGGAAGCCACAGAGATGTAAGCCCTGTGCCACCAGCGTGCAGAAAACTCACCTTCGCAGCGCCCGAGTATGCTGCTGACCTGCAGCGGGTCCACGGCTCTCTGCTCGCCCATCCGCCCAGGTCGCTGTTTATACACCTGCGCTCTTCAGACGAAATACCCACGGTACACACACCGGTGGAGAGCGAAGAGCACAGAGGCCCCCCAGTGAGCCACCCACAAATGCCTCGGGCCTTCCAGGGCAGCACTAACCCTCCAAGGCTGCTGCTGGGAAAAAGGAAACAGAGACCTTTCACACCTCCACGGGGACCCTCGCCAGCACCCCGCTGAGTTCAGGCCCAGGGACACTGGCTCTCTCCATGTCTCCAGAAGGAGGTGAGCCACGTCGCAAGTCTGAGCAGTGTGGTGTCATTCATTGGGCCCACGGGCTCTCTGGGGTGACTAGGACTCAACAACAATGACACAGGGACAGTGTTCCTGAGTCCTGTACAGGAGGCTGGCTGTGAGGTCCCAGCTGTCTCAATGTCATCCAACTGTTTCCCTGTGAGGCCACTTCGAGGCCTGAAGCTTTGGGGTACCCCCCTGAGGAGGTCCTGGGGGGCAGAGGCTGCAGCCCGCCCCGCATCCTCGGCTGGCTCAAACACCCCCGTGTCTGCACCTGCTGTGGCTTCCCCCTGGAACGCCCTCACGCCTCCCTGCCCGTCCAGCCGCCTTGGGCTCCCTTCCTGGTCCTCTCAAACTCACCTAGGCTCCGCCTGCCCTGGGAAGAATTCCTCCTGGCTGCCCACAGCACCTGTCCTTCCCTCTGTTAGGGCCCTTGCCAGGTGGTCTTAGAAGTGGCCGTGCTCCTGGCTGTCCCTGGCTCTGGACACGAGCTCCTTGGGAGCGGGCCAGGCCTGCCCAGCCTGCGCTCACAAGCTAGACACACGGCAAGGGCGGCGAGCAGAGACCCCGGAGGCCTCTCTCAGCCCCCTGCACGTCCCCCAGAGCCGCCCCGACTGCCAGCAAGAGTGTCAGTGCTGACCCCTCCCGCTCCCCGCCAAACCTCCTGCTGCCACGACCCAGGCTTATCCGGATTTCCAACTGTCCTGCACAACGACATTGGGTTATAACCAACCACCCCAGGGAAGGGGAGCGACATGTCCCAACTAGTGTCTGTCCCACACTTTGTAAGAAGCTTGTCTGGCAGGTGAAACAGCCCTCAACACGGGAGCACCAGCCTCGGCGTCTATCCGCGGCGCCCAGTACCCTGGCAGCCGAGCTCTCGGTGCGGCAGGCAAGGACGCCCCGGAACGAGGGCACAGCGGCCTCGGGGATGAAGGACAGAGAAGCCAGAGGGAGGCAGCCTGGCCCCATCTGTGAGTAAGCCCGAGACAGGCAGACGTGGGGATACCACCAACTAGCTGGGGGGCAGGAAAGCCCCCCGCAGTTCTACTGCTTACATCCGGGACACAAAGGAAAAGAACATCTGAAAAACGTGGCTTGCTTTTGCAGAAGCACGGATGCTTAGGGTTATTTGTGTGGTTTTCTGTATTGGAGAGAGATTGTTTTGTTTGTCTGTTTTTGTCTGATTCTTCTGCAGCGCTGTAAACTGTAGGCAGGAAACTGAGCAAGTCAGATTCACCTAGGAGGACATTGTCATTGCCATACAAGTTCCTGTGCCAATGCCACACAGCCTCCATGCTCACAGACATAAACCCCAAGGAGTTTTAGGGTGCCTGGGCTTAGAGCATGATACTTTAACTGCAAACTGCCCACAGACTGCCAATACTGCTTTCCGAAGAAACAAAAATGTGCCCCGAGATGCCCATTCTTACTTAACACGTAAGCCCTGCACTCCGCAAGGAAGGGGCCGGCAGATCTTTATTCAAACGGGCATGGCGATTGCTTCTGACGTCCGGGCAGGATGCTCTGGCACTCACGGGGCAGGCTGCAGGTCACCGGCTCTCTCTGGTTTCTGCCAGGCCTTGGAAGCTCACGATGCCCAGTGTGTCCGTTCCCACTCACCCCACGGCCGTCCACGTGCTGGAGGAAGCATGGGGTGCGGGGCCAGTCTTCCAAGCCCAGCCATTCTGGGGTGCTTAGGACACACAAGCAACCCCAAGAAGTCACTGCCCTGAGTGTGCTCAGCAACTGCCGTGAGGGCGCCACGGTGTTTTCTCCCACGCCCAGCCTACCCCGCAGGGGCCTCCCGCTACAAACTGTGCAGGATGCCCTTTGTTCCCAAGACAAGATGCCAGGCACAGGCCCCAGGGTTGCAGCGGAAACCTCATCGGTTTCTAATTACATTCCCGCAGGAAGCTCTACCCACAAGAGGGCTGGAGGGCAGGCATTTCTAGAATGCACGTCCACACCCCTTTGGGGCCACATCTTTTCCAAACATAAGAAGTGGGGAACAGAGACCTCCCCCTGGGCGGGGAGGAAGGGCTGGCAGGAGCAGCACCCTCTCCCCTCTGGGCTGTGCTTGTCACAGCTGCCGGCCGCCTGCCACACAAGCAGAGGAAGAGCCGGCATCTGCCTCATCCCGGGGATGCCTTGTGGGTGTAACAGAAGTCTCCCGTAATAAACCGGGATGCACAGAGTCCCAGAACATCCGTGCAACTGCACACTAGGCCAGCCATGCTCAAAACACATGCAACCGAGATCCAAATGCCTCGGGGACCATTTCCAGGGTCCTCTGTGCTCATTTAGCTCTCGTTTCTCCCTTCTAATTAGCCTGTTTAAGGACAGAATTGGAAACTCATTTCTACAGACTCCCCTCCTTTCCCCATCTGGCCCTAGCACTAGAGTTCTTATCTCTTAGCCTGCCTGCTGCCTCCTTCCTCTACTTTCCCACCTGCTGCAAACTCCAAGAAGCCAAGCCCGGCTGACAGGCACAGGCTGTAAGTCATGAGATGCTATCAGAGAGTTACACGTGTAACAATAAGAGGCAGGTTACTGCCTTCCCACCCTGGCGCCAAAAACATGATTTTCCTCTTTCCATTCAATCATAAAATAGCCCAAAGTCATGACTCAGCCACATCCGATCTAAATGTATGTAGCCTGTTTCCTAGAGAGAACCCAAAAGCTGGGCTGTGCTACGTCCAAACAGGAAAAACAAATACCTGTGAACAGATTAGCAACGTGCAGACAGAGACGTTCACAAAAGCACTGAGCAGAACATAAAACCGGTCTTAACGTTTTTGTTCTTTCGTACTTATTGACCTGAAAAGGTGTTCATCATACGTTGTTCAGGTGGGAAAACGTTCCAAAGCAGCACGTGCAACACAGCCCGTTACTACAAAGGAGAAAGTTCCACAGATACGTGTTCACACACACTCTAGTGGCTGCTGTTTAGTAGCAAGATTATGAGTCATTTTACTTTCCCTGCTTCTCATCTGTAGTTCCTGTAGCATAAATTACATCTGTAACAAGAAAGGCTATCACTACTCGGTCTTCCTAAGCAGTCAGCTGTCGTTGGGCCTGAGGACAGGAGAGGTCTTACGTCAGGGACTCCTCTCACTGTTCACGCACATCCTGATTTTATTTCCACCACAGAACAGCACGTGCTTCCACTGGGAGCTTCCCGAAGTTCAGTCCTTCAGAATAAACAGGGAGGCAGGGTGGTGCC